AACTCCAACGGCATCGTTTTATGCTTGGAAGACGTCGGACAGTTCATAACTTTCAAACGGCGCGTGGTGGTGTTACCAGTTTGTTATCTTTAAACACGAAAACGCACCGTTTCGAATTGAAGGAGAGACTTACAAGACGCTGATCATCGCTGTCTGATCTCGGCTCCCCCTAGAATTTCGTCTTCTTCCTCGCAACAAGATTTACTTCTTTCTCTCTCCGAGCCCAAAAATGGCAACTTCAACAGCATCGAAGCGATGGCTTGGCAGTCTACCATCGACAGCATCGCGCGTATATTTTTTCTTAATCATACTTCAAGTCCCTCTCTTCAGGTAATCTACTTTAAATCTTTTCTCCTCCATCTGAAATGAAAAATTTCACGAACTCGTCTAATCTCTCTACCTCAATTTCCGTCCATTTCAATATCGATGTCTCCGAATCTCTTGAAATCATCACTAGGCAACTCGTCTTTGATCGGAATCTTACAATTTCGTCTATATTCAAGTTTTGGCTTATGGGTGTTCAGCCAACTTAGAATCTTTGACCTATGAATCTGTTTACTATTTTGGTTTAGAATTATGGAGGTTTGAAGATTTCTGAAGCTCTGTTTTTAGTTTTTTTACTTTTCTTCTATTGGTCAAGCAGAGCTTTGACGTAGGATGTAATTGAAATTAGAAGTTTAGTAGTCATAACATGAGCGATTGAATCGTTTGAAGCCCTTAGTTAGAAGTTGTTTGTTGGAAAAGCATGGAGGAGAAGAAAGCATAAAAGAGAAAGATCAGACCTACTTTATCTGCTACATTCTTCCACGTAGGAGTTCATTACCCAATTTGTTTTTGAATTTTCACTCAGAAAAAACAGTTTATCGTAAGTGTTTTATCCTCTGGGTTTGTCGTTTTACCTTTAATTTCTCACTTTTTCACTTTATACATTAGGCCTTTGGCTGTTATCCAGGTGAGTAAATGCTGAAAAATTCTGTTGAAGGAAATTAGATGCTCCTGATCTGAACTGAATATAAAACTATGTTGTAACTTTACTGGTTTTTGTCTAGAAGAAATCTGTTCAAATGTTATCTTGGGTTATTCATAGATTATTTTGGTAATTGCCTTATTGGTTTATTGATTTTGATCTCTATTTTCCCTTAAGAAGTTGTGGACTGGGATAGAAGATCATTTCAGGCCAGTACCTCTCAGTTACATTTCCTTGTTCATATATGCCCCCTGCAGTTAGAAATAATTTATAATTGCGAGAACGGAATTGCACACATCCAATTTTTCAAGCAGTATATTATTTTATAATTGATATTATTAGAAGATCCAGATCCTTGTTGCCCAATAACTATAATTAAAAATATTTAGAGAACTAAAAATTTTATAGAAAACCACATGCTTATTTGTAGGCTTATTTGATAGATTCCTGTATTTGACAGAACAATCACCTGTGTGCTAAACTAGAAATCTTAAGATAATTTAGACCTTAGTAGTTCCTTACATCAAGAAAACTAACTACATCCTTAAAAGAGTTGAGATTTATTTATATTCCTTATCCTAATAGTGATTAGTTAGAGGCTATCAAATAAAATTATCTGCTAATTATAAGAAATAATCTTTGAAACAATAAATTGTCTGCCTCACTTAATCTCTGGAAGAAATATATCTAACAAAACTTTGAGACATAAATGTTGGAGTTAAAACCAACTTGAAGATGGATGGTTCAATATTATGGTCTTCCTTTGGCTATTTCATTACCTTCTGCTAAAGCAAGAGTTAATAGAAAAAGGGAGATAAATAACTGAACTAAACAAGTCTACTGTGTAAATCCAAGAACGTGTTGAACTAGAAAACAAAATGGAAATGTAGGACTCCTTTCTTCATTTTTAGTTTAATTGTTTTTACCTTTATTTTTCTCAGGGTCCCATGCAGATCTGGTATGTGCATGACACCGATCCATGTTACATCATCCCAGTTGATTGCTAGTGAGATCTTTCCAGTTCCTGTAATTAAGTCCCTCCTTTACCCTGGAGCTATTGTGCATGGCCTTGTCACAAACATGACTATTCCAAGTTGGGAAAATCTGTTAAACATCTATAACCTGACCAATGTGAAGGAAGCTCCTCCAGTTACTGATCTCCAGCGTTTAGAGGTTCTATCTTTCATCTTTACTTTTTAATCTTTAATTTCTAAATGTGCATTGATTTATTATTAGTATTTGGAAGCTACGGTTTTGATACTTCTACTTAGGATCCATTTTGTGTCGATAATATAATTAATTTTCTTCCTTGTCATGGTACTAAAAATTAATATGGCAATAAATTTCTGCTATAATTTTTTCCTAGTGGCATTACTTTACAAACAGCATTTATCTCATGTGTACACAGACAGCCATCTAGATTTAGTTTCTCAGCCTTGTGTTTGGTTGACTCATAACTTTTTTAAAAAAATTTGTCTTTTTAATCCTTGAGTTGTAAATGATTTTTTGCATATGCAAACTAGCAAGCTGAGTTAGTTTTGTAAAACATCAATTCTCCTCTTTATTGACATGGAGTACTACTTAGCATACAATTGATTGAGAGCCGAAGACATAGATCATGTTCAATAGGAGTATAGGAGTCATGATTGCAGTTTTCTGCTCCATCCACAACATTCTTTGAATATGATTTTGATAGGATCCAAGATTGGGATTCGTTATAGATCAACTGATTGGAAAATCTTGGAACAAGCCTGCTGCCTGTGTAATAGATTCCATTCCTTTTCTAACTATCTTGAATTTTTAGCAAGATGTTCATATGAGAAAACCCTGTCTCTTGAGTTCAAAGGACTTTAAGCGGCCTTGAGTAACTAATTTTGATTATCTCTATTGATGATATCTGCATACATACGTATGGGCAAGCCTCAGCATCAGGCTTTCTAGATCCTATGACTCACCCAACTCCTAAATTACCTCTCTTATCAGTGATCAAAAAACTAAAATGCAGAAACTCCTAATATGACTTCCTAGTCTAAATGCTAACCAACTGGTTATTTAATTACCTCTAACTCAAACTGGAGCACTTAAGTAGACTTTGGTGTATTTTCCTTGTCGCTGTGGGTCCATGTACATTAGTAGGTAACCCCTGCAAATGATCACCATGTTGTTGGGACCCCTAGGCCATATCACATTTCGACCATGGTTTCTGCCAAATCTGTTTCAAATCACTCAGAAAACCGTCCAGACTGTCATTTTATGTGCTAGTAACTCAATGTCTGTCTACTGATTCTTTTGGCAGGTTCTTGCGGGAAGCTACTTCTCTGTGGCAGGAGCACTTGTGGGAATTCTGAAACCGGGGAGGATGAGCATGTTTGGAACTCTTCTGGTAACTTGGGGTCTGATCAAGGAAGGGATTTTGGGGAAGCCGGCAAATACAGATCCTAGTAAAGCTCTTTATGTCTATCCAACTATGTTGGTAGCTCTTGTCTGTGCCTTCTCATCTATAAAGTACGATACAAAGAAGGTGATGAGAAGCACACCAGCTCGTGCAGTTGCTAGGCCCCTCCAGAGCTCGTCAAAATCTAAGCTGAAATAAGTTAAAAATGTAGTATCCTTGGAGTGCAAAAAACAATCCCCATTTTGTTATATTCTTATCAAAAATCAACACTACGAATTTTTTCTTATGACCAAAAGGTGTTAAAATTAGTGTAAAATTTTCTGTTTATTTTGTTGCCACTGGGTTACTTGTAAGAAGGCATCGTTGATAACTTTGCTTTGCCAGAGAGTTTATGGATGAATGAAATTTACTTCTTTTGTCTAAACAAATTTGCAATTACATTCATCTGCTTAATGTCTGCTGAGCCTGAAGTTCCAAACCTGTCCTAAGAACTACACTCTCCAGGAAGCACAGCCCGGTGAGTTTACCAAATCCTTATTCTAGGTTTAGTTTGAAGGCTAGATCCTAGGTGTAAGAATATGCATTGCTATCCCACTAAATTTTTATCCAGATTAAAAAAAAAAAAAAAAAAAAAGATACAGATACAGATAAACGGAGCGCACAAAATTATGAAGCACTTGGGGACGATGATTTGGTGTAGATTAAGGTGACTTTGTTTTATATTTCATGACTTGCATTAGTTACTTTTTATCTTTTGGAATTCTAGATAAGATACTTTTGAAGGGTAAAGAACCCCCCATATCGAAACCTTCTTCGGAGAATCAGAGGGAATCAGGATGTCTTTACCATTAGGTAAGAATTCAGTAATTTTATGCATTTTGTTTAAAAAAAATTATAAGTTAAAGGTATTTATATTAGTTTATTTTTTGACTAACATAAATTTATAAGCTCGTGATAGTGATCAAATTTGTTATACATTCTGTACGTAACAAAGAAGTTATAAATGGAGTAATTTATAAACTTTTGCAATTGAGATTTTAGAAAATTATTCTAATAAACGTCAATATTAAGCAAGTAAAAGATGAAATAACTTCTTTAACAATTTTAAGAATACCATTTCCATACAATCTGTCATATTTATCTTTTTAATAAGAACTTCTTTTTAATTATTGTGACAAAATCAACCGCTTATAAGTTTTAGTTCTACCAAAACCTGAAGTACCAAACCAAGCCTCTTTAAGAGGCCAGGGGCATGTATCTTCATGTATATATGTATATAACTTATAAGCGGTTGATAGAATCAGTTTATAACCTCTGGTAGTTTTTTGGATGTCATGTGTGTGTGTGTGTATATATATAGACATACACAATATCTAAATAAACTAACAGAGGTTATAAACTTATTTTATCAAATCACTTCCATAATTTACTAGTTTAGAGCTTATAAATCATATGTCATGTTTTATTCCACAAGGTTTGCTGTAATACACAAAAATCATCACACTTGTATAAAACTGAAGCAAAAGTACCATATTGCACAAACTATGGTGTCCTTAGATCCTCTATCAATAATTTTATCTATAAAAATAAGAAAAAAAAATTCTAAAATGCATAAATTACATAATCAATAGCACAAAATATGACAAAAACTTATTTTTATTTTCAGATAAAAAAAGATATATGACAAGAATGTATAAAACTAGCAAAAAGAAAACAGCAAGTTTTTCCCTTCATTTATCCAAAAAAATTAAGAGAACCTCTACTAAGACAGAGTGTATAAAATTTTTATACCATGATTTTTTCTTTAATTTTTTACGTAAAACAGCAAATCTGGTGTGGTAAAATGTAAAATTGCAGTATATCATGAGTCTAATTTTTAACATGAATGTTGTTGATGCTATATGTCTTGGTTCTAAAAGATCAAATATTTAGTAAAGAGGGCTTTGGTCATGCAGTAAATATTAGGCTTAGAAGTGTGAAGACAAAGCCCAAATGGTACCATATCACTAACGTTTTTATTTTATACAAGTGGTATATATGTAATTTCATTTTCAAGATGACACACCTCGCTATCTTATTTGAGCCAAAGTTTGGAAGAGCCTAAATACAAATTATAATTTCCAAAAAAAGACGTTTCTTCATTCATCATTTCACTGAAATAGATTAGATTGACCAAATGATATGAATTACACTGACTAATTATTCTTTTTTACTTTAATTTGTGTACTTAATTCATCACATCTTGCAAGAAACGTAAACTAGATTCAAGGAACTCATAACTATTGTGAAAACTTACATACATACGACTCCAAAATAACCAAACTCATAACTAATTGAAATAGACACTGGAAATGGACCTTATCTAATTCGGATGATAGAACATACAGTTGGTTTAGGAGGCAAATGGCAACAATATTAAAGCTGCAATTTTGGACGGAACTCTCCAGGGAGACTCGAAGTAATCATGTTTCAGGATTGCCCACCATGCGGGTCAACTGCCAAGGCCTACTGCCGCATGCCTTCAAATCCTTCCTCAGACCAGCATAGTATGATGTATGAATTCTTCTCGTCTGCACAAAAAATGATACAGAAACTGAACATATCTACTGCTGAAGTTTTATCACGTAGCAAGTTAATCAAAACGGACCCGATCAAAGACTAGAAATAAAAAAAAAAAATCAGACCGAAAATGGGAGGAAACCAGAGGACCAGCCTGATTTGATTCACTCTGGTCTGCACAGCTTTTTTCTTTTTTTCTGAAGTATGTTTTAGCTAAAAATATACATGAAATAATATTTTAAAATAAAATAACAATAATTGAACATTTTTGTACTACTCATTTTTTACTATAAAGCTTTAAAAATCATAAAAAGTAATGTAAAGTTAACACTTAAACTAACAGCAAAATAAAAGGTATTAAAAATTAATAAAATATTTATTTTCCGTCCGGACCAGACTGAACTAAGATCCAGATTAGGACCAAATTCAAACTTGACGAAAGGCATCAAAGAGAAGATAAAGAACCTGGAGCCCTGGTTGTCAGCAGACAGTTGCATCTACAGCATTCCTCTCTGTCTTCACAAGTTGAAAGAAGAAGCCTACACTCCTTATCTGGTTTCCTTTGGCTCTTCCACCATCGGAAGAAAGAAGTGGAGCCCATGGATGATTTTAAGCTGAGTTATCAAGCAGAAGAGACAACACAAACAAAAATTACCATAGGTGAGCTCGTGGACAACATAAAACAGAGGGAAGATAGAATTCAACATCACTATGGAGATGATTCCATTTGATGCTATCTTCATCATCATACACTATGTCAAGGAGTAATTTAAATGTCATAATAATAATCATGATCACCATTCAGTGGTCTTGCATTCCTTTCCAAAGGATTCTCTCACAGGGGGCAAGAGGTTACCCCAAGGTATGCACCTAGATATCATTTTGCTCGAAAACTAGATTCCCCTTTTTGTCCTTGTGAGAACTGAATGGTTCAATTGTTTACTCCAAAAAAGATATAGACAACTCCTCACTTTCTCATGAGTTCCTTTCACTTCACCTACTACAACTTCCAGAATATAAGCATGGAAGGGAAATCAGTAACCCACTTTACTAATCTGGTATGGTCATTTTACACACTTCTCATTGAATTTGCTTCCAGAAGATGGAACTATGTTAAAGAATCTTAATGGTGTCATCGATTTGAATGAGGCAGGAATGATAATGGCACTGAATTCCTAACAAAAAAACTTATTCAATGCACAGTTCAATAGAGTGCTGGAAATTCCCAAAATCGAGTTAAACAGACCATAACAAAATTCTAATCGAAAATTTATTGGCGACAGAGCAGTGTCATTGCTTTCCATAGAAATCTTTCATATAAGAAAATATCATATTGATAGGTTAGCTGATTAAAACACCACCAAAGATATCAATTTTATCCAAGGAAATTCTGGTCAACTGGCTGGGAGACTCTACTGCAGCAGATCATATGGTGTGCAAACTCTGCGTCAATATTATGACAGCTTTTGGATTTTCCTACTAAGCTATTCTCCAGAAAGATTTGAAGACATACCATAATAGAACTTGGCACTCTTGTACCGATTATATTATTATTCTGACCATTATACAGAATATATGTTCTATCGTCCAAATTAAATAGGATAATTTCTGGTGTCTATTTTAATTAATTGTGCTGCTATTATAAGCTTGATTATTCTGGAATCATATATGTAGATCAGAATGCATATTATAATATACCTTGGCACAATTGGCGGTTTGCTTTCTCTGAAGATTTCAGGACTCCTTTAAGAGCTGCTTATAGCTTTGAAGCATTAATGTTCATTGTGCTCCCTTCCAGACTCTATGCCCCTGCCAGCAAATATTCAGCTCAGGCAGTTCATATCTCCTAAACTTTTTAACGTTGTTGATTTAAACATTCAGAAAAAGGTTGTTTCATTTATACCCGGATGACTATGGAAGTTGTGACAATATTATTGTCAAGTACCTAATCAAGACATCGAATCTGTTTATGGCAACATAGCATAGCCCTCAAATACTTATGCCATGTACAAAGAATGCATTTCCTCTGTATGCAAGTGATCTCTCCTCAGAATCTATGCACCACAAATGCCCTTGCAGCTCTAAAACATCTTTCTTACCTGCCGTTTCCCACACAAACTTAAAGAGGCTAAGAGCCCTGTCAAGCTGCTTGACGCCTCTCTGAATCATCTTCTCATCTTTTGAGGTCAAAATCCTTCCCATACTCAAGCAAAACCTTTTCTCGGCCTCATTCTCATAAAATCCACCACAGAGATCCACTTCAATGTCTCTAACACGACGATTGAGATAATATAACAAAAGTGTGAACAAGCACCTTGATGAGTGACCTAATGTTTTACTGAGTTTCTTTTGCACAAGACTCTGATGATGCCTGGCCTCTCTATATCCAATGCTGTTATCAACTAGTACATCCTTGATTTGAAAAAGCCCTTCTTTCATAACCTCGAGCTTTGTCATGTGATTTTCCAGACCCTTTTCGCCTTTTAAATACTTGATGAGATCATTGAACATCTCAAGCACATCTTCCCACTTGCAAGAAACCAGAGGATTAACAATTTTCACCGGTGCAGGCCTCATCCATGAACAGGAGTCAGGCTCACTGGAAAGGGTTGAGTCCGCCAAGAACTTCAGACAGCTAGAAATGATCTGCTGGGCCATCTTTATTCCTTTGCTCGGGCATCTAAAATTCAACAAATCTATTTCCACTTTCAACCCATTTAATATCTCCTCCAATGCACCTCTCCATATCTGGTGCTGTGTAACCTGTGGACTTATCATGATACGGACCAACTTCCTTTGCTGTGCAGAAATATTAAGCACACTGCTAATTTTGGTTAGTGAATTCACAACAACAGGCTGTCTCTCGCTTGGTTTGCTAAAATAATCAAACTCCGTGCATTGTCCACAGCGCTGCATGCCGACCATAGTTTCCTTCAGTCTCATCTGATTCAAGGAAGACCCAATAAAGACACTGGTAAGAGACTTGAAATAACGCATCCTCTGCTCGACATTATCATCAATGATGATCAATTTATCATTGACATTCACTAGCCTTCCATCAATTAAATCAACATCTTCTAATGAGCGGGCAATTCTAGTTAGCTTAGGGAACATTTTTTCATACCAATCACCGGGCAAGAACTCCTCAGGAGATTCTCCAGAGCAGTGATATAGCACCACAGTCATGCGCACAACCCGATTTGGCTTGCTTGTGAGATATTTTGCTCCACAGAGAAGCTTTTGAATATGCATAAAAGCCATTAAAGCTATAGCCACGTTCTATCATAAATAAGTTAATCTCATTCTTTGCACAAGCCTAGAACTCTTGTAACAAATTTCCACCAACTTAATTCGAATCAGCACCTTTAACTTGGAGAGAGAGAGCTTCAGGCATCATAAGACATATATGACTTCATTTTGACATTAAATCAAATATGTTATAGGTATTTCCTCAAAACATTCTTTCATCTGTACCATTTCAGATGTTTAGTGTATCCATATCCGCCTATGTGAACCAATGCAAACGACGACTGTCAGCTAACTAAACGTAAAAGAAAAATTCCTAACTACATTCCGATTGAATATGAAATCAGGAGTTTATAAATTTATTACCTAGGGCGCGACAGTAAGCTCTAACACGATGCGAATTCAGAAAAATGTTTTTCCCTTTTCCTTCTTCCCTTTCGATTCTCAGCTATCTCTTTACTCTCTCCAGTTTTTCCTCAATTTCCGCCCCTCATCTTCTCCAATTTTCATTTCAATCTCAGCTCTCTCTCCGCCTCACTGTGTCATTCAATTTCTCCTCCTGTTTTTGAAATCAGACTCCCAAGAGGTCTCCTCTGATTCTTTCTCTATCTAACTCACCGATTCGTCTACTCTCTCAGCTCAGTCTCCCGCGTTCTCTGGCGCTTTCTTTCTTCCCGCTCTTCCTCTTTCCCGCACAGGTCGACAGCTTCGTAGATGGATGATCACCTATGCCCAGCTTCATTTTGATTCAATGCTCCCCAAACCTGAGCATCAACAAAGAAGAAAACGAGGTCCAGAGAAACTGGGGAGGCGAGAATTAGATCCATTTCGTGGCCCAATTTACATGGGCAACATGTTTTGATCCATTTTGAAATAATCTTGGGGACACTACTTCTTAATGGGCTTATAAGAGGATTAATGTTTAATTTAGTGTAGTTTTCTAAAAGCCCCCCCTATTAATGTAATCGAATTTAATATGGTCTAGCCTTTAATCTTGTTTTCCAAAAAAAAAATAATATACCAAATTTTTTTAAATCAATTACTTATTTTAATTAAAAGAATTTATTAGTTTGAAAATATTTTTTTGTCCATGAACATAATAAAATTGTTGAGATTTAATTTAATTTAATTTAATTTAATCACCATAACTCCATCAATATACAAATAAATTAAATATTTAGTTTTACTAAATTAAGTATTACAATTTCTCACTATGCTCTTGTAATGCTCCGTTTTTTTTTCAACAGCATACGATCAACAATCCTATGACCCAACACGCCAATTTCATATCAATAGCATTACCCATAAGCAAAACTGGTTCACAGTTCATTATTCTAAATCAAGGTAAACTTGTAATTCTAACTATACATCAATGACACCCCATACCATACCTTTCCAACAAGTCAACATCTATACTAATATAAACTTTTACAGGCGGTAGCCTGCCACAAGGAGACCCTAGCCCGATGGCGCTAAAGACTAGGCTTCGTACCCAGCAACTCAAATCCCGGCTCCATCCCTACTTCATCTGAAAAAACGACAAAAAGTGAGTTCACATAACTCAATATGATAAAAACTAAGTTGCAGGTATAATGTGCAGTGATAAGACAGTTAGTATATCTATATGCATTTCTCTTACACTACCCAAGTCATGTTTTCAAACCACCCTATAACTAACCGTTATTTACCTACCCCGAAAGACAAGCTATTCAATAACACATATAGCAACAACAACTCCAGTACCCCCATAAATACCCTGTCTATACTACCTACCTCCTGCCTCAACCCTACCCTAGTACAACCCCAGCCCCCCTAGCTTGGTAGACTATTCGGTGCCTATCCCACGTGACT